ATTAGCAAAATAATTTTCATTAGGTTAACGTCCTAAGGGGTGGAATGTTACATTTAGTATAATGGAAGAAGAATGTCTAACAATGAATAAAAAGATTGGATATAGAGACTAGAGTGTAATCATAAAGAAGGTTTAGCTTAAGTATGCTTGGTTTTGCTTGGTTTTCTCTCTTTTCTTTTCAAGACCATGATCTTTAAGAGTTTAGCCCATTTTGTTTCTTCTTCCTTACCTTGAAATGCTTCCAAATGGTGCTTTTTATAGTTGAAAAAATCTTAGAGCTATTATAGGTGATTAAAGCAAGAAACTAGTTGTTTTCCTTTTGAATTTTGTGTCTAATTGTTATCTATAGTCGAGTATAGAAGTTCTTTAGTAGAGCCACTTCCAAAAAGTTTATATTTTTTACATCGAAGCTTAAAGGGTCGACTATGGCTTCATTTCTTTATGATTTTTCATTAGTCTTGCCAAAGGATTGACAATAGAATTTATAGGGTAGACTATGGTTGTGTATTTTTCAAGTTTCTTTGTCCGTTCCTGCCTTTTTTGCCATAAGATTGACTTGACTTGCTCTCCCATCAATTGGAGCTTTATTTCTTCAATATTCCTTGACATTTTAGCATGTAACTTTGGTCATATCTTCCTTGTAATCAAATGTTGAGTTGAGAATGAATTTCATGGCTTGAAACAACCTTGGTGAAGATCAAACACCTTTAACTATCTTGAGATAAACTCCACCACTTGTGAACCTAATTTGTACTTTTAAATACCTCAAGAGCAATTATTTGGGATATAATGAGGAGAACTCATTTAAGTATGTTTAACACTTATAAAACTAAGTCATTCAAGCTTGTAGATATTTATGAAGTGAATGTGTGAAAATTTAATAACTTCAAGAATTCACACAACCAAAATAATCAAGCTTGCAATCATGTAAGAAGAAATGAATGAGAGTTAATCATTTTAAGAACTTGTCAAGTATCACTCTAGTAAAGCAAATGGAAATTTGAATCATTTTGTCATAATCAAAACTATATTCATTTTCAAGTTAACAACCGTTAACTTTTCATTTATATAAAAAATGTACAAATAATTACAGTACCTTTTTCATTGAAAGGCTAATAAATATTCTCATTTCATTGAAGCAATCCAAGTACATCCAATTAAAAAGTCCCGAGTTAACAAAAAGACCTTATGGTTCAACAATAGCCACGAGGATACCAAAAAAAAGAAGTATATCACCTAGTCCTTTCAAGAGGCTTGTAACCTTTACTAGAACAAAAATAAAGTAAAAGGATGGTCCTTGTCCTTTCAAAAGGCTTGTAAGCTTTGCTAGAACAAAAATTAAGTAAAAGTATAGTCCTTGTACAATATCCAGTCTTTACAGAAGAAAGCCACAGAGGTATACACATTATAGACAAAACCACAATAAAAGAAACCCTTGCTCCAACAAAGTCAATCATGGTAGCAAACAAAAATTTACTGGTCATATATAAAAGTAAAGCAACAATTGACCAATTGATATTCAGATGCAAGACCCATAAACCCAAAACTTTTATTTTATAAAAGCTTTAGGATTTAGTTTGTTGCTATATTAGCCAATGCTTTGCTTTTATTTATGATTTAACTAACATGCCATGGTTGACATGGCTTGGCAAATTAAACCTTAAACCCTAAACTCAAACTTTTTATAAAATAAAGCTTTGAGGTTGGTTGGTTTGGGTCTATATATCACTTGATCATCCATTACTCTACTTTTATTTATGATTTGAAAATCTTAGTTTGCGGACATAGTTGAGTTTGTTGGAGCTTTTATTGTGGCTTTGTCTATATTGTGTACATCTAGGTGGTTTAGGGTAGATATTAAACATGAGCTGTACTTTTATTTGATTTTTGTTTTGACAAAGGTTACAAGCCTCTTGAAAAGATTAGGTGATATACATTCTATTTTTTGTATCCTAGTAGCTATTGTCAAAGTACAAATTCTTTTTGTTAATTTGGGGCTTTTTGATTAGATGTACTTAGATTACTTTAATGAAATGAGAATATTTATTAACCTTTAAAAACAATAGTGTAATTAGTTTGTACAATTTTGTGTACAAATGGAAAGTTAATGGTTTCTAATTACTAAAGAATAACCTCTGATATGGAAAAGTAGATTTTTTGTACAAATGTAATGCTGAACAAAAGCTGATAAAAGTACCAAATTTAATCTCAATATATCTTTGTACAATTTAGTTTCTTATTTTACTATTTTATTCAATTTAATTTTTATATTATATATTTTTATTTAATTTAAACCAGACACTAAAAAATTAACATGAAAAAAACCTTTTTTTAAAAAAAATTTAAGATATGCTATGTTACCATTATCTATCAACATGTTTTGTTAGGATAGTTTGGTATATCAACATTACGTTAACAGCATGTTAACACCATTAACAATTAATTTAAATGTTGTTAGGAGAGGAACTCCATTGCTCAAAATTTAAAAAAGTATAATAACTAAATTCATCCATTTAGAAGGGATACACAGTATTGATAGTATAGGACCTACTTGGACAAAAAACAAAAAAAAAGTCAAAGTTAGTACAAAGCAAAGAACAAATCCATTAAGAAAATCTTGGAAGGAAACAATCTCCCACCCTCACATCTGCTTAATTATATCCTACCCTTTGATGGTCTCCTGACCTTTTTTCTCTCCAGAGTGTGGTATTGTAACTGTTAACTGTACCTCAGAGCAGCAGAAAATGAGGGTAGCTGGCTTGGCTCGTTGTAAGAATCTCCCCTCACATTTGCTTCGCATGCACCTCCCCTCTGCCTGTCGTCAGGTCTTGTCTATAACTCTTCACTTCGCTCCACACGTCAATCAATCTTCTCTCAAAACTGTAATTCAAAGTCCTTATCGAATAAGTTTTTGATTAGATCTTATTGTTTTCATCAGATGAGTATTGCCGCTGGGCTTAAAAATTCTAGTATATTCCGAAGCCAGGGTCTAATAGGAGGAAAATGGATCGGCGCCCATGATGGCAAAACTATTCAGGTCTTTCTTTGACATAGATTTTCCGGTTTAAAGTTTAAATTTCTTTTGCTTGCCTTGCGCTTAAATTTGCTTTTGGTGTCCTGGCAGGTTAACAATCCTGCAACTGGGGAAATTATAGCAGACGTTCCCTTCATGGGTAGACGGGAGACAAACGATGCTATTTCCTCTGCATATAATGCCTTCAATTGTACCAAACACTTCCAATTGCACTTCTCTCCTCTTCAATATGGCTTATTTCATGTTCTGTGATTTGGGTTTTCCATTAAACATCTGCTTCTCGCATGATATTCAAGAATCAATATGATTCCACAATTTTCGTTACACTGTTGCTCTTGTTTTAGTTGTTTAAGGTTGACATCCCCGCTGGGGTTTGAGTGTTACTCGATATATTATATACTTCTTGTTCCTTGTAGTCACTGGATCATGTGCTTATGACATTATAGGCTCTTTTTTACCTGTTACTTCTGCTATTTAATTTCAGAAGCAAAGATGAAAAATTGTGCTTGGATACCAAAGCATAAAAAGAATTGAGAATTTCACTTTTCTGATAATAAAATGTTTGATATTAGCTTAATGTGGAACAATCATGGCGCTCGAGCATCCGACTTGGTGGTCAGAGCATGTATTCCCTACTTGTAGAGCTGAATTCTACTCTCCCCCTCCTCAAATCAAATACAAACACACACAGACACATAGATATATGGAGCAATTATGTTTCAATGTGTGTTATATTTTAGCTTAAATAACAAAATGTGTGATATTAAGGGGGCCTTACTTTGATGGTGAGATATAATATTTGTAGGTATAGATGTTATTATGTATACTTTTGGACTGAGGTTGTTACTGGTTGGTAGCTTTGACATACTGAATTTCAAAGTTTACTTGGGTTTGAAATCTAGTTTAATTGATGATCCTTATTTTGTTTTTTGGCCATAGCTTGGAGTAAGCAAACTGCTGCTGAGAGGAGCAAATGTCTTAGAAAATGGTATTACCTTTGCCCTATGATCTCGTTATATTATACATTTGTGTTGAATTTGAAATAGTCATCCGTTTGAAAAGAACTTTGCTTTTTTGAATGATTTAACTTGAGATATTTTTGTTAAATGATTCTAGCTGAAAGACCCTTGAAATATAAGTTTTGCAACATTGAAAAGTGTACTTTGTAGCAAAGTTTGGGATTGCTATCTCTTGCTTTTAAATTAAAATGGTCCAGACCAGCAGTATATATTGTAGCATGGAAATTTAACTGCTTATCTTTTTTGAATGGCTAATATCCAGAATTTTGTCCTTTGGTT